TGCTGCCCGGCGACACGTCGCTCTGTCCCACGCCTTTATAGAAAACCTGCCAGAAGTTGTACTCTCTCTTGTAGGCGTTTGGATGGGTTTTGGCTTTCGGAAGCCCGACTGGCTGTGTGGAGCATCTTGCTTTGCTTTGGTTTGGCCCATTTTGGATCTGTACGGAGTGTGGCAGCGTGTGTCCTTGTTTCAAGAGGCTGTACCGGAGACCATCGCCATGGTTTTTGCAAGCGTTTTACCCTTTTAGCTGCCCCTCTTCATGTTCCCTCAAGCAGCTGCTTCATTTTTTTTTCCACGCCGTTTCCTTTCCAAGCTACTTTCTCCCCTCATCGTTGTTATGGTCAGAACAAGAAGAAGCTTCTTGAACGAAGTCCTGCGTGCGGCGCGGGAGGCAGGATGCTCAGCCGCGTCCCCTCGTCCGTCCCTGTGACTCCAGCTGCCATTCCTCTGTCCTGTTTGGACCTTTAATATTTTTGGCAGCTGTGAATGCGACGTCTCTGTGGTTAATTTGGAGGAAATGATGTCTCCCGTTACCGCTGCGTGCTCCACCTTTGCAGGATCTCCTAGTTCCCTGCGCTTGAGCTGTGCTTACTCTGTAGATCGTTTTGATATAATCAGGTTATTGCCTTATAAATAAGACCTTATGAGGTCTCGCAGAGGCTGTTTTTTACAGGCTGCTCGGTTGCGGTGTGAATGGGTGAAGTCCATTTGAGATGGAGTAACCCATAGCATGGTGCTGGGAAGCTGGAAGCTGCTCATGGAAGTACTTCAGGGCCACGAGCTGGGACGTATCGGCTTGTTTCTTCCCAAACCCAGTGCCTCTGGCCTGGGAGAAGCGGGGTGCTGTGCCTTCTCCCGGAGTTAGCTCCCCGAGATGTTTTTATGAGGAGTTTGAGCTCAGGGCTCTCCTGTTCAGGTTAAGGAGAGCTCATGCAGGCTATAGCGGGGCGTTTCTCCCGTTTCCCAGGCGTTTGCGTCGGGATTGTGCTGGCAGTGCTCCTGTCAAAATGCCCGCCAGCGCATCCCAGATGCGCGGATGTACGGCTCCGTCCAGGGAGCCGCTGGCAGGCGAAACCGCGCCGTGGGAGAGGCGATAACTCAGCGAACGGCCCAGCAGCTTTCTGATTAGGAAAACATTTGCTGGTGCTTCACACGAGAGCCTTGACTGCACAGAGGCGTTTGGACGGAGCTGATGGACGTTGCGCCTGCATCCCGGCCTGAGCCAGGCTCGCCTTCCAGCGTAGCCCAGCCGGAGAGCCCCCGCCGAGGCACCCGAGGGTCCTGCGGCGCGAGAGGGAGTGCAGAAGAACAGGAGAGACCCTGCTCCACGACCCAGCCCCTTCCCGTCACCTCCTCGCCGACACCCAGGGGGGTCTGAGGGATTCGGCCCCACTGGCCATCAGTCACCCACCCTCCCCAAACCCGAGTTTTTGCGGGGTGGAGGCAGGAATTGGGCTGCACAGACAACCTGAAACCCCGGGGCTGAGTTTTGGCGTTGAGGCTCGGGGTAGGTGTTGTCTGCGCCGTGCTGGCCAAATCCTGCTTTGCTCCACTGCCTTGTCTCTAAAATTATCCCTGCAGCTTTCTGATTCTCATTGCATCGCCTTTCCTGAGCCGCGCTCGTGCCGTAAGCCGTCGCCATGCTCCTCCCAGGTTTTGTTGCTTCCCTGACTGAATAAATCCCCGTGCCTGGATTTGGTGGGGCGCGGGGATGATTTGCCCTTGCCGTGACGGATGGAGGTGCCGGCTCGAGGGCCGTCGCCGGGGAGAGCCGGCTGCGTGCCAGCGCCGCCCTGCACTGGGCGCATCACCCATCTCGGCACAGCATCCATTGACGGAGGGCCCTTTTGGGGTCAGAAGCCAGGTTTTTTGAGTATGTTTAGCAGAATCTGCCATTTAGGTGCTTAATCCTGTAATCCTCTGGTTCGGGTGGGTTATTTTCCTCTCGTGTCGTCGTCCCCTGCCCCGAGCCGTCCCCACCGTGGCAGAGGGCTGGTGGGTGCTTGGGGAGGGTGTTCCTGCGTGGTGGCAGCGGGAGGTGTGCGGCTCCCTGTGCTCCCGCAGGGCTGAAAGGCTTAAAAATCTGTGCCGGCTAAAGTAGAAAGTTAATGTGAATTTAACTGACTTCTGCCCTGCAATTAAAGCCACTCAACCCCATCGGGGCTCTGAGTTTACATTCTTCACTGAGGCACAGTGTGTAATTATATATGTATAATTTAAACTGTGCATATGCATGTGTTCCTATTATACGCCAAGGAGCAAAGGAAATTATCCGGGAATTAAAGGGGGAGGAGGGTGCAGGCGCAGAGAATGGCTCTCTTGTGTGGCTGTGGCAGCGAGGGGAGGCTGGAGGGATCCCATCCTCACCGCTGCACACATCTTTGGAGGGTGCAGAAAATGAGAACTCGGGGTATTACACGCTTGCGGTGGGCTCCGGACTGGGGCGCAAGGAAGTGGCCACAGCGGGGGGTCAGGAGCGAGCCCCCGTGTCGGGAGGTGCTGAGCTCCTGCCAGGTCCCTCATGGTGCCTGGGGACAGCGGGGACCTGCCGCTCCTCCAGCTCCCCAAAACTCGCCCTAATGCTCCCTCTCCTTTCTTGCAGCCACTTCCAACGGGACGCTGGATGGCCTGGAGAACCGGGAAGGAGGGGTCTGCCAGACGCGCTCCATGAAGATTGTCATGAAAGTGGGGCAGGGTGAGTCCTTCTGCACCCTGG